GGTTAGTCCTTTGAGATCCTTGCTCGAGTCGGTGACTTGGCTTATCGACTAGCTTTACCACCAGATTTGTCAGGGGTGCATGATGTGATTCATATCTCGATGTTTCATAGAGATATGCATGACCTGGACTACGTGGTGGACTTCGTCGAACTGCAGGTCGAGCGAGACCTTACCTATGAGAAGGTACCGGTGGCCATTTTGGACTAGAGCGTCTATCAGTTGAGAAACAGTGAGTGAGCTTTGGGAAGGTGCTGTGGGACCGACATGATGAGTCCGAGACAACTTGAGGGAAGGAGGCCGAGATTAGGGAGAGATTCACTAACTTATTGTTTTGGAAGTCTGTGTATTCTGTTAGTTCATTTTTTACTTTTGTCTTCGAATTCCTAGGTCGGAATTCCTTTTAAGGTGGGTAGATTGTAGCGCCCTATTAGTTCCAGATTTATTTGAGATATTTAATCATTATATTTTATTCGGATTAAATTATTTCAGGCTCGATTATTTAATTTCTACGTGATTATATGCTCGTATTTGCCTTAGTGTATTTATTTTATTATCGAGTCGAATTAATTAATGTTCGAACCGAGTCGGGCATTTAATTATCGATCGCACGCCAACCCGGTCTTTTCCCAATTCGCGTGCACACCTCGCGCACTAGGCCCGCAGCCCACGCCACCTGCTCCCCCGAAGCCGCGCGTCCCGCGCCCGCATGCGCCGCCGGACCTGCCACCCTCCCATCTTTGCATGCATGGCACCTCTTTTGAATTTTAAATTCAAATTATATAACACCCTATCCCATTAAATAAGCATTTGACCCTCATCACTCTCCTTATGACCAGATTTTATGTGGAGGGGCTTACATTTTGATTTCATTAAACAAGGGGTGGATCTTTTGCTGGAACATCCGAGAACCCCACCAGCCTGATAGGGTGCTCCGCTAGTTTGGGTGTCACCAGCACATCCCACAGACGCCGATCATTACGTGTCTGACCAACTGGGAGGCCCACCACAGAGGCCAGGGCATGACTTGGAGGGCATATACCGATTGATGGGCCTTCCATTCTGATCTTGGGAGGATGTGAACCGACGAGAGTCAGAATGTCCTCCCAGATGTACCGGTGGATCACTTCCTATAGCTGGCATATGGGTATACTGAGTGGTATTACAGTAGGACTGTGAGACTACTCAATGACCCTAACAACTACGCGACTATCTCACAGGACGACGGGTATCAGCCTTATGCCGACCGAGAGAAGTGCCAGGTAAGTGTTTGGTAATTTGTGATTATTATTATTATTATTATTATTATTATTATTATTATTATTATTATTATTATTATTATTATTATTATTATTATATTATTATTATTATTGAAGTTATTATTATTATTATTAATTTTTGTTAGTTGTTCATAATAGTTATTTGAATTTTATTTTCAACATTCGGGTACGGAGGGAGCGTATAACATGTTGTGGAACATTCAAGACACGTTTGGTACGCCTGGATCGCAGCAAGGGTTCCAACAAGCCCAGGAACTTCTGTACGCTTCACTGACTGTTGGGGTCCAGTCGGTCACACAATGGCGTCGTCGGGCAAATTCTATCTCAATAGGAGTACGCCCCACCCCAGCAGACACAGTCCCAGCGGAGGAGGCATAGACCGGCGCCCCACGCTTGTGGAGGGAGAAGACGCCGTGAACCCGCTGCTGCATTCCCCGGGAATGAAGAAGACGAAGAAGGTGAGAATTTGTTTACTTAACTACATATATATATATATGTATATATTGTTTGTTTTCATTTATTTGTCCGGTCGAATTACTGATTTTTTTTTAAAAATTAATTAATTAGATGAAGAAGCAGTCACGCCTGGACCGATCGCAATATCGTCTTCTTCGGTACCACAGCCTCCTCGGAAAGGGTCCCGAGTACACAAGCCTAAGAATCCATATACTCCTAGTTAGTTAGTTTTGTGGACATTTTTTTTCTTTTATTTTTTGTACTGGATTTTGAGATATTTATTCTTGATGGTTTTGTGTACATATTTTGTGGTTCACTTTTTTTTTTCATCGGTAATTGTGGTTGACTTTTTGTATATAGTGTTTCGTGTGTATGTATGCATGTTAGATTATTATTTGACGAATGAATTGATATTAAAATGATATTATTTCGTGTTCAAAATGTTAAATCAAAATTTATAAAAACCTTCATATTGAAAGATAAGAATAAATTGCCGCCAAAATAAACGCGGTCGCTAGTAAACGAGTTTGTGAGCATCCAAGAGTATTATATTATATACTATAACTTATACCATATACTATATAATATATTCTATTATAATATATACTATATGTTGTATACAAATTATTTATTTTTACCGAGTATCGAATCGAAAGATTCGTTCTCCGGGGAAGGCGTTTCGGAATTTAGCTTTGATATTGATAACACATAAAAAGAAAATAAAACCTAAACAATCTAATCACGATTGGAGATATGATAATTACCAGCTAAGAAATAATATAAAAATAATAATCTATGTAAAAATGCGAACGAAACAAGGAGGAAGAAGCTAGGGAGTCGGGGATAATCAATTCAAGTTTTATTCGCAAAATCGAGGTATTAATTGTTCGATTTAAGATTGACACTCTCGCTTAAACATCTAGCGGTTTGCTCCCTATAACTTTTCGTAACAAGAGATTGAACATAGACGAGTAAGTTCGAGCATACGATGCCGGCCTAGAGGTCCGATTCTAATAACTCACGTAACAAGGAATGGGACATAGTCAAGCATGTATTTCAATCCAAATCCATAGCCTATTCCGTTAGGAAATCATCTATCATGTGCAAGCCAAAGACTACAACTTTTTCCCTTTCGGTTCCAAAGATTGCTCAATTAAATCAGAGGGTGATTAACCGACTAATTCTTAAAATTAACAAAACCTTAACTCGACAAATCAATATCCAGTTATTTCTAGTCGCAAGATTGAAGTGTCACCCTTCAATTATATCAATCAATCAAGCAGGATTTCATCAATTCTTAATCAAATTAACCCACACAAGAATGAAAAATTCAAGCCCGAGAGATACGAATTAAACCAGAACAATCATCTCTTATCCGTAGCAATTAGAATTAGCTATTCATAAAAAATCCAACACAAACATGCATTTTTCCCAAATCAACCATTTTTCAAGAATTAAATATGAGAGAAATACTTATAATAAATCCCAATTCAAGTGTCGGATCTGAAGTACAAGCTTATTCCAATAAGTTGATGAAGAGAAAGAAAAGAAAAAAAAATGAAAAGTAAAGCAGAAAATAAGAAGGAAAGATGAAGAAAAGGAAAGGAAGGAGAAGGAGAAGAAGATTTTTGTGCTTTCTATGGGCTAGGGTTCATCTCCCAGAAGGGGAGAGAATAATCCCTCCATCGTCTAAGAAATCTGCTATTTAAAAAATTATTTTTCGCATCCTCCGCGGCCACGGAGCTTCCTGCTGGCCGCGGTGAACAACAGCTCCGCGGCCGCGACATTTTTCCGTAGAAGGTTGGGCGCTGGCAGTTTTTTGTTCGCCGCGGCCGCGGTGAAGAAAGGGGTCGCGACCGCGGCGAAGAAAACTGGGCTGCACTGCACGACTTTACGATTTTTGCTCGTTCGGGTTCGTTTGAACTCAGAATTGAGTTCCGTTTTTTTTTCTACTCGTCGCTAACGAACCCCTCTATCTAACTATGCAAACCCATCAAATATTTTCTTGAAAACCTGTCCTCCCAAATCTTATGACATGCACACCAAAAACGTGATTTGCGCGACTTTGCTGTTTGAGCCCGTTCGGCCTCGTCCGATCTCGAAATTGAGTTCCACTTCTTCCTATATGTCGCCAACGAACCCATCTTCACACCATGATTGCTTGATCAATTTTCGGGCTAAATTCATTCCTCACGGGGCTTCCGACCTACACACCAAAAACAAAAGAAAACCAAAAAAACACACGAGAAACAAAAGAAATACCAAAATAGAGCAAACCACGAAATAAAATACAAACGAACTAAAAAAAACAACTAAAAGACCTAATATGGGGGTCAAAGAAAGGCAAAATGACAACAAAAAATGCAACAAAAATGGGACAAACACTATATACTATATACTATACGGTATTATATAATGTATATTATATTGTTTGTAATATAATTGTATATACTATGGTAAATTATAATATATATGTATATACTATATATTAAAAAATTTATATACTATAAAAATATTGATATTGAAGTATAAGAATAAAATTTGCGCAAAAATCATAGTGATAGCCTAACGCGACCTAATGATAGAAGGTGTGCCCGGAGAAAATGGACTCGCCCACATATATAGGGTTCGAGTTCCGAATCTGGGGTCTTTCTACCATTTTTTTTTGAAAAACGGATTCTCAGAATCCGTTTTCAATTAATTAAATTAGAAACACGTCAGAACCTGTTTTTTAAAAAAATATAAAATAAATAAATAAATAAATAAAAACAGATTCTAAAAATCTATTTTTAATAGTAAAATGGATTGTGAAAATCCATTTTAAGAAACACAGATTTTCAATTTCTTTTTTAAATTAATTAGGGTTAATCACGTTATTAAGGAAAAACGGATTATAAAAATCTGTTTTTCATTCAAAATTAATTAAAAACTGATTCTCAGAATTCGTGTTTCTTTGAAACACGATGTTTCATTTTTTTCCACATTATTTTTTTTTTGTCTACATTTTTTTTTTTTT